TGAAGAAGAACTAAAGAGCCTCTTGATGAAAGTGAAAGAGGAGAGTGAAAAAGTTGGCTTAAAGCTCAACATTCAGAAAACTAAGATCATGGCATCTGGTCCCATCACTTCATGGGAAATAGATGGGGAAACAGTGGAAACAGTATCTGACTTTATTTTGGGGGGCTCCAAAATCACTGCAGATGGCGATTGCAGCCATGAAATTAAAAGACGCTTGCTCCTTGGAGGGAAAGTTATAACTAACCTAGACAGCATATTAAAAAGCCGAGACATTACTTTGTCAACCATGGTCCATCTAGTCAAGGTTATCTTTTTTCCAGTAGTTATGTATGGATGTGAGAGTTGGACTATAAAGAAAGCTGAGCACTGAAGAATTGATGCTTTTGAACTTTGGTGTGGAGAACACTCTTGAGAGTCCCTTGGACTGCAAGGAGATCCAACCAGTCCATCCTAAAGAAGATCAGTCCTGGATGTTCATTGGAAGGACTGATATTGAGGCTGCAACTCCAATACTTTGGCCACCTGATGCAATGAACTGACTCATTTGAAAAGACCCTGCTGCTGGGAAAGATTGAAGGCAGGAGGAGAAGGGGACGACAGAGGATGAGATGGTTGGATGGCATCATTAACTCAATGGACATGAGTTTGAATAAACTCTGGGAGTAGGTTATGGACAGGGAGGCCTGGTGTGCTGTGGCTCATGGGGTTGCAAAGAGTCAGATACGACTGAGCAACTGAACTGAATTGAGCCTCCAGGGCCAACCCAGAGGATGTTGGCGGGCCTTTGTTTAGCTCCTTCTCTCAAATTGTGTCTTTCTGTCAGAAGTTCTGGTGAGGATCTTACGATGGCCTGAATGATTTCAGGTGAGTGGGTCTCTTTGGTCCTAGACACAGGCTCCAGAAGTGTTGGACTGCATAGGAGGCCTTCCTCAAGGCAGTCCAGAGGGCCAAGTCTTTTTTGTAATCTCAGTCCTCGCAAAGTAGGACTTCTTGACTTATGTCAGGATGGTGGCACCACCTTGACGGGTTAAGCTCTTCGACATTGAAGAACTTTTTGTTAAGCTTAAATTCTAGTCATATGGGTCATGGAGCCAATGTTTGCTTCCCTGGTCCCTGGAGAACATCCACACATAGGATTCTGCATACCTCCATACAGAGCACGCTGATCCACTGGGGGTCAGTCACCTGTGGTGTGTGCTTTGCAGTCTCCCAAGAAGAGGGAATATCCCCAAGTCTGGAAATGTTAAGAGGCTGGCAGGAACCCATCCACCAGATCTTGGCAGGGAAATTCTGCTTGCTGTCAAAAGATGAACCACAGTCCCTGGGATACCATAAGACTTGACCATGTCATGTTCAGGCATAGTAAACAACTGTGAGGACAGTTGTTTCTGATAGACCCTTTAATGGGTTTTGCTTCACTGGCCAACTCAGGCCTCTTGTGTCTCCTAGGGCATTCTTCCTCTCCGGGGGCCACAGCTTTTAAAGATGGCTCCCCCTAGAGGAGAAATCCCTCTGAGAGTACCTTCCTAATAAGGCCTTTGAGAGCCATTTGGAGACCTGGTATCATCTGCAACATGAGGCCCTACTTGCCCAAAGTAAAAGGTTGGACCCATGATATGGGCTGAGTAGGGAGTAGTTGCATTGCTGTTTGGGGAATTTTGTCAGGTCATTGGAGAGGACACTGCAGCAGACAATGATGGCTCTTTTGCACAGCCTGAATATTCCCATGCAGGGCATTGCAGGGTTGACTGGTGCTAAGCCCGTGGGCCTTTCTCCATACATCTGACTTCTTGAGCATAGATTCATGTGGTCACATAGCCACATTGTGTGTTTTTACAGAGAAAAATAGAAGCTTAGTGTCTTGCACATGCTGGGTTTCAAGAGGTAGAGGAACAAGAGATCAAATTGCCAGC